AATAGGATATTCAGTTCTGCAACATATAAAAAAAAAACTTGTTACATACCACAACTTAGTTCAAAGATCATGTACCAGTCGAGTAGAGGGTACCAAGTCTGCACTGTCACCATCACAAAACCAGCCCTCTTCGAATTGCCGAGTAGAGGGTTTTCTACCAACCACACAAAACCACAACGACTGCACTCATTGGAGGCATGGAAACCCCCAGAAGGAGAAAACGACCAGTCCTTTTTTTTCTTTCTGGAAAACTCTCTAGGTATTAATGAGAATTCTGCAAAACCCTAGAAAGGAATGCGCAGAACTGAGAGAAAAGGAGACGACTTATCTGAACTGATTATCGTGGCTATGATACCATGATAAAACTCAGACTAGATGTTCGTATAAGTTCAGATCAGAAGAAAGAGGAGAAGAAGAGAGAAAAGAAGTAGAAGGAGAAGAATAAGAAGAAGGAGAAAAGATCACAGCCGAACTAGAGATAAAAATTCCAAACCCTCTAGTCGACCCTTCTTTTATTTATACTCTTCTAAGAAATACAAGAATTACCATTGTGCCCTCACTTAAGTGAGAGCCACATCAGCTGAACAATACATATATAACTAAAATAAAGTGGCTTGAGAAGTTGTGAATATGGAGTTCACAAAAAAAAAAAAATCGAAAACAAAACAAAAATAAAGTGTTCCACATGATAAAAAACCCTTGTCCAGGAATCCTGGTATCATAGCCATCCATTCATTCGAATCATTCACCATCTATTGTTAGAAATGCATCTTGGTGGGGCCAATAAGAACCAACCCAATCCAACAGAACCCAACCTGACCTTGCAAGCATATATGTAAGAGGCTAATGTATACAGAACAAGCTGTTATGTTCATACTTACATAACCAAATACATACATATAACCCAATTTGATTTGTTCTTTACTCATGCATATATACAAAAATATATGCTTAAATTTTTAGTTTGGTAAAAGTGCTCAAATAAAAAAAGAAAACTATAGTTACGCATATGTTAAAAGCAATTTTTTAATTTTCATTACTTTTTGCTTTATATTAAATTAGACAAAGGACAAAGCTGGTGTGAATAAGAGATCGTCACCGGGCTATGCCTATAGCTTTCCCCAGCTTTAATCCTTAATTCATGTTTACATTCTGAACCCATAACTGTCTTGCTTTGTTTTACTATTTTCCTGGAAAGCAAAACTAGATATTTGAGGGACTGTAACCCATAAACATCCGAAATGGTTTTTTTTCTCTGAAATCAAGACAATAATGATTGGCTTGCTTGTCAGATGCACAAATTCAAAGTAAAATAAGATATTGGGAGGAAAACTAATATGTGATATAGAACTTTAATTTATCAACCCACCTCATACTTTGAGCAGTTCACCCATCTTGCAAAAGCTGACCATCTGCAACCAAGATGTCAAATACAAATAAGAATCTTGAATTATTTGTATAACATTAACAAAAAAAGAAAAAGAAAAATAGTCTAAGAAGAGAGCCAACAACTAAATATTCCCCAATTATAAGTTGTCTCATTCTTTAAACATGTACCGGTGAGAAAGGAGGTTCTATATCAATTTCAAACATCATAGAAGTCCTCTCTAATTAACCCTTCAATACATGCTATGATCAAATAGTCTCTCTGTAGCTTAGCTTAATTTGATTTCAGAAATAGATACATTTTGGAGCAAAAAACAGGTCTTTTCAAGTAAAAAATAAATAAATAAATAATTTCAGATATGGATCAAATGTAACCATTTCGGATACCCACCTACGAGGGTCATAAATGGTTACAGTACGATCAGCTCCACCTACCGCAATTGCCCCATCTGAGGAACTGCAAATAGCATATAAAATATCCCCCATGGAACCACAGATTCGTTGTACACACCCACCATTCTCATGTGTTCTCAAGTCCCATATAGTAAGCTGCAATAATTAAAAATAAATAAATAAAAAAAATGGAAGATTTTTTAAGATCATTAGCATCAAGTAAGCTAAAGGTGTGTATAAGCCTGCAACTGACCTGACAGCCCTCAGCAACAGCCAATATTGAATTTTCATCCCCAAGAAATGAGCTCCGCACAAAGCTTAATGAAGTTGGATACAATAAACTGTGTCAAACCATGTTAGTAAGAATAGGATGGGCAAAATGGATGGTACATCCAGAGTCTTATGTGATAGGTGAATACCGCTAAGGTTAAAAGGAAGTTTCTATAAAACAGTTGTAAGGCCAGCAATGTTGTATGGAGCAGTTTGTAGGCAGTCAAGAAATATGTCCAAAAAATAAGTGTGGCGGAAATACATATGCAGAGATGGATATGTGGAAAAACTAGAAAGGAGAGGGTCAGAAATGAAGCCATTCTAAGGAACCTATGAGTAGTTCCAATAGGTAATAAAATGAAAGAAAGTAGACTAAGGTGGTTCAGTCACATGCATAGAGACCATCTACAACACCATAAGAAAAAGCAGACTGCTGCAAGTTGAAGGGGCTGGAAGGTCCAGACCAAAAAGGACATGGGTTGTAGTAAGAAATTATTTAAGTGATATAATTTAACAATAGATATGACACTAAACAGAACGAAACGGTGAAACAGGATTCATGTAGCCGACCCCATATAGGTGGGACAACACTTAAGTGATGATAATGACTTAACAAGAAAATATGATGCAATAGGCTTTATGGAAAACACCAAGAAGTCCAAGAATTTGATAAATTATAACATATACATTGGTAGATTATGATGATGATTAGTAGTAGAATCCTGATTGTCACAAGAAAGGAGTTGCATCTCTTCTTACATGCACTGCTGCCCATTTGAGGGTAACTGCTCTATCTTCTGAGTGAAATCAGATATGACCTCATGAATTTTTTGCGCTTTTTTTAAAGATGGTTGAAACTACATGAAGTTCTCTGTATTTTCTGTTAATCACTTGTCTATCATTCTCTCAATTGTCTATATTCCCACCATTAACCCATAACCAGTTCAAAATTTTCACTTAGTGACTCAACCATTTAATTGACTTTCGATAAGGAGGCATTTATATCCTATGAATTTTTATATTTATAAATTAATTTGGTTCACTAAACCCTCCATTTAACTCATAAATCCAACTTGTTTACATCCACTCACTAAATCCATCTTTTGCCAGACAATAATGAAATTAAGATTGGAGCTACTCAAGCCTTAACCACAAATTTGACCTTGCAAAACCAGAACAATTAATTATACTTACGTGCGTAAACTTCGAAGATGAATATCCTGGTCATAAACATCAATGCTTTTGCAAAAACTATGAGCAACAGCTACCTGGAAGAATCAAACAGTAAGGGACAATTGGAAAGATCTGAAAGAAGTAGAGAAACTTCGTACATAAGCCAAAAAAAGCACTTGGTCAAAAGGAATAAATAGAAACTAACAAATTTGAGTTTTAAAAGCATAAATATTTCCTTTGTACATTCTGTTTTTGCAGCGACTGTTGATTCTACTACTACATCTCTAATCTCATAATTGAACACAAGTCAGTCTAACACATCAACTGAAGCTAGGCATGACTACATGGCTTTAGACTCGATGCACAAACATGAAAGTCGTTTATACAAAGTTGTAAATAGCTTCAACTTATATTCCACAATGGATTCCAAATCAAGCATGTACTAGTCAAAAACTAATTCCAATCCAAGATAATACTAACATGCCATTTGTTCAGAGATAATAAATTAAGTACCGTGGACCATAAACTTGGACTAAAGGAGAGGCCTGCCCAGCTACCCTCCCCTACACCACAATCCCGAGGAACTACTGAATATGTAATCCTGTCAACATCTGAAACAATCAGTTATGCATATTAATAAAATATAATAAATATAGATGCATAAAAATTAAAAAAATAAACAACTCATATAGACCAAAAAAGTTAGAGAGGAAAAGAAACTTCAGTACTTGTAGGCCTTATCTATACAGATAGAAGTACAGAAAATGAAGAGAAAGATACCTTGACCACTAGTATCCAGTTGAGACACAATTAGGTGACCATAAGAATCAACTGTCCCCAAGACTAAGAAGCCATTGCCTGTGGATATTGTATCAGGAGGAAAAAGAATCATGAAAAACAGAAGAAATACCAACTCACAATAAAATTCTTCGAAGAACCAAAAAAAAATACAAAGATGGAATAGAATTCTCCAAAATCTTGCCAACTGCACTACTGAGAAGACTTAGAAGCCCCACTTCTGGACTACTGAGAACTGACCCTTAGAATCCTTAGACCAAAGTCTTGAGACCTCTCTTCTGATATTGATACAGGTTCTTGCAAGTACAGAAATTCCTATGTAACCACTTCAGAAATTGACAGAAATTCTCGTTCCTGCACAGTTGCACTTATGCAGGGTGATTTGGGGATGCGAGGAGTATAAATCGTGATTGTGAATTGTTAATTGCACAGTTGCACTTATAGGAGAACGTAATTCAATCTGAGCAAAGCTTCTAGCACTTCTTCAATGTCTGAGATTCAACAACTCATTATGATTCCTCCAATTTGGAAATAGAAGGGGATTTTCAAGTAGTAATAGAATGCATGGTAGCTGAGGGGAATGACCCATGGATTCCCTTGCCATTCCATTAGAGGCAAGATTTCTAGCTGATTATGGTATAAACAGGGATCCGTTGTATTTGGGGTCTACTCTACTGGCGCAGAATCTTGGGTTGGGCTGGGTTCTGATTAACCCCTCCAAAGTAGGACTATTGCTACTGTTTTACCTATCTTCTATTGTGTGTGTGTGTATAGTAGATTTTCTAAAAACATGAGCCAACATATTTGTTCATATGGATACCAATACTCGCTCTATAACTGATGTACTAGCTAGGGATGAGGTGGGGCAGCTGAATTATATTGGTAATTTTCCCATGTAGGAAGCATTTTCTTTTTTCTGTGTTTTTTTAATCTTTGGTTTATTGGATAAGGAAAAGTATTATATGTAGTGATATCTAAGATTTAAAATCATGTAAAGGGTTATTTCATGTACAATGAGTAGCTGTATGTCAGAAGCACAAAACAATCCTCAAAAGAGGAAAAGAAGCAAATGATGTTATTCATGCTGAACGTAAAATGATGTGTAATAAAAGAAAAAAGAAAAAGATGATAGGTTTACTACCCTAAATTCCTTGTATATTTGACAATCATAGTCATCCTACGTCCAAGGTCCTCCTAAAAACACCTTCCTTCTTGTCCAATTGATGCTCAAGGATGTAATTGCTATGTGTGGACCCTGAGACTAGGCTTATAACTGATCATAGACCCAACTAAAAAATTTCTTCCCAAACTTACAGCTATTGACTTCAGATATATGTTAATATGTCATATGATGCTTCAAAATGGGTTCCTTATCTTTTTCTTGACACGTCTGGAAATCAACACAACATTTGAGAGGATCATCATTTCATTGAATTTGTAATATGTAATCAAAGAACCTCAAACTCTTAGGATATAATTTGGGTATTAATTGTATTTGATAAGCATAATCATCATATATTTAGTGTTTCTGTTGAATCATGCTTCTATACAAAACTTGTTTTCTTTCCCAACAATTCTTCCATTATTCATGTAAATAACATAAAATATTTATCAAAAAAATATAAATAACATAAAATGCTTATCAAAAAAAGAATATTCATATAACATAAAAGATGTATAATTAGAAACTAAAATCTAAAAGTTAAGTTATACCTGTTCAGCAGTGGTTTGGACTTTATGGGAAGAAAGAAATGCCAGAATTTTCCAAGACAAGGAGAGAAGTAAGCAGCAAATTATGGATTGTGTTTTGGCTAGAACTATACATTGGCTACAAACTGTGGAACTGTTTAAAAGTTTCTCCTTTGACATTTGGAGGAATTGGCTTTCAGTAGCTTCTAGTTCAGTACACAAGGCTAAAACACCACTGAGTTGGACACCACCCATGGAAGGCTTCATGAAACTAAACTTTGATGGGAATAGTCAAGGCAACCCGGGAATATCTGGAATTGGAGGAACCATTAGAGACAAGGATGGGAATCTGCAAGCACTATACTCAGGACCGATGGGAAATAGAGACTCTTTAAGGGCTGAACTGTATGCAGTCCTACAAGGTGTACAGATTGCAAGAGAGATAGGGGTGGAAGTGCTTGGTGATAGAAGGGGACTCCAAGGTGGTGGTGGGTTGGCTTAGAGATACAGATTCAGTGATATGGTGCTACAGAAATGAATTGAAGAAATTCAAATGGGAAACACAACATATGAATTTAATCATACAATGGGTGGGAAGGGTGGCTAATTCACTTGCTGATTACTTAGCCAAAGGAGTAACTAGGGATCAGTTGAATTGGGCCCATTTATGATTTTTGTGCTGTTCTTTTCTTTTAAAGGGTGAGGCTGCACCTCGCACCTCCCGTTGGGATGCTTGTAACAGTTTATTTTGTTGATAATGAATTCTTAATGAAATTTTATTCATCAAAAAGAAAAAGTTAAGTTATACCTGTTGACCCTGAATCCTTTTTTTTCAGACTTACCAAGTTTGGCACCTAATACTTGTGTCAGGTTCTAAAACTTTTTCTTTTATTTGATAAATGAATATGATTTTATTAATGAAAAGATCAAGAGGTGAAATCATTACAGGCTACCCATGGAGAGGCAAGAGATGTCACCTTTCCTGAAAAAAGAGAATTACACCAAACAAAAACAAAAGATTAAAGAGCTGCCCAAAACAATTGTTCCCTTGAGGCCCCTTGCTTAGCTAAACAATCCGCTAAGGTATTTGCTGTTCTGCCCACCCAATGTGAGGTAATATTCATGTTCCTTGAAAACCAATTAACTTTACTCAAGAGGTCCCTATAGGACCATATAACTGAGCCTGGATTTGTCAACAGTCAACCATCCCACAACAACTTTGGAGTCTCCTTCAATTACCAGATTCTGAACTCCTAGTTGGTCTGCTATCTGAACACCTTGTACAGCCGCTAATAACTCAGCTCTGTTAGAGTCTCCTACTCCCATGGGGCCTGAGAACAAGGCTAAGATGTTGCTGTCCTTATCTCTAGCACCCCTCCTACTACACCTGAAGGACCTGGGTTGCCTTGGCTACTACCATCAAAATTCAGCTTTACCCAACCTTCAGGAGGCACCCACACTGCTGGTCCTATCCTTCCTAGTATGACTATTAGTCGTCAAAAGAAAAGGTTTGAAAGGAGTCCAGAGTTCTCAACCAGTGGATTTCCCTAGTCAAAATGCAATCATCTACAGCCTGAATGCTTCTTTCCTTCTCTTGGAATAGCCAGGTTCTAAAACTTGTACTTGTATCCTTATAAAAAATCTTAGACCTATAGATGGCTTCCATTCAAAAACGTCTTGTTCTTCTCTAATCCATTCAAGGAATGATATCCCCTTCCAGGGTTAAAAGTTATTTTGATGGTTGCACTTTGGTAAAGCCATTTGATACTAGGGGTGCATGAAGGGATGGAGATGGCAAAGTTCTTGCTCTTTTAGGCTATACTTCCCTACTGGTTTTTTTATTTCTTTCGAAGGGCTACTCAACGGGGGGGGGTAGCCCATCCCCCAACCCAGGTGCAGGCGGGATTCAATCCCAAGTCTGCGCTACGACCAGCAGGAGGCCTCACCAACCAGCTGGTTGGCACCTTGCTTCCCTACTGGTAATTATGACTTTAAACATTCCCAAAGCACTCCTTTGAGGTTTACAGGTGTTAGAGGCCTTAAGATTCTGGTTTCTTATCATTAAAAATGGATGAAATAATGCCATTGCATGGCACTCTAATGAGTATAGCTTCCATCAGAAACTTTCTCGTGTTACTTCGTCTATCAAAAGAGGAATCTCACTTTTGATTAGTATAAAGGGGTCTTTATTGATTCCCCCACCACATAAATTTTTATTGGTCTCTCCAGTTGGGAACAGTAAAAGATGGGGGAATCTATCAAAATACAAGGGAGGGTATTGTATCGTGGGTGGGGGTTTTGGCAAATAAAACACAAACCAATAAAAATTTATGAGGTGGGGCAAATCATAAATTCCCCTAATATAAATCTACAAGTATAAATCAATAGGTTTCACAGGTAAGTGGGGCTCAAAAGGTGTTAAAAACATAGAGAATTATCTCTTACACTCTGTTTCAGCAAGAACTAGACTTTGAACTTCTGAACGATGTGGGCAACGGTTAAGTAATGAGGAATGCCTGACCTTCAAGAAAAATAAAATAAAATAAGATGACCAAGTGAACCAAAAAGAGAGGCCAAACAATTAGTACATCTATAAATATATAAAGTGGACATATCACTTCCACCAAGTCACAATGAAAAAATATATAATACTTCTTGCATAAGTAAGGTTTCTGCTTTCATATTAGTACCACATTCAATGGATGTGCCTCGCACTAGTCAAAAGAAATGAAAATCTCTGAAAAGCCCAAACGAGATTCATAAATGTAGAATAAGCATGCACGAATGTACAATCTGAATCTGAGTACCTCTGCTTGAACAGGAATCAAAAGACTTTCCTTTCCCTTGGTAACTGAAGAATCTTCCATTGATACCTAAAAAAGAGAGAAACTAATTATTAGCTGATCAGAGTCGTATACAACAGAAGATGCACTAATGCTCATAGCATATTTTCATGCTTTTCTTGGAAGCAGAAGAGTACAGCATATACAATTTGAAGTGGGTAATTAATTGCTTTAAAAAGGTGACAGGGCTTCAGGTAAATCTTTCAAAAAGTAGTTTGGTAGGCCTGAATGCTAGTGATGAAATCCTGGACAGCTTCAAGGAAGTGCTAGGTTGCAAATTGGAAAAGCTCCCAATTTCCTATTTAGGGATGCCTCTGGGTGGAAACCCGAGAATTCAAGTTTTTAGGGATCCGGTGGTTGAGAATTGCAAAAAAAGACTGGCTACCTGGAAGAAATGTTCTCTCTCAAAAGGGGGTAGGATTACTTTAATAAAAACATCTCTTACAAACTTGCTAACAAACTTTCTTTCTGCTTTCCAAGTCCTGATTAAAATAAAAAACAAGATTGAGAAACTCCAGTATGATTTTTTGTGGGACGGTGGAATCAGGTTTGTAATCCTAAGGAAGGTGGTGGATTAGGAATTGCCCATATCAAAGAGAGGAATAAAGCCTTACTTGGGAAATGGTTATGGAGATTCCCTATCGAGTCGAGATCCACTTGGACTTCCATCAGCAGCAGCAAGTATGGGAGAAACTCAAATGGATGGGATGGCAAGGTCCACTTGAACTGAGTGACAGCAATCAGCCCCTGGAAAGGTATCTCTTCAGCCTACGACTTATTCTTTTCATTTATTAGATATAAGGTGGGAAACGGAAATCGGACTAGATTCTGGACTGACCTTTGGTGGGGTGAGAGACCCTTAGTGCTTTCCCTCGTATCTGTATCTTCAACCTATCCCGATCCAAAGAAGCCACAATTTCCTCTTGCCTTACCCCTTCATCCTCCGGCTTTAATTGGAACCTAAATCTAAGAGGATCTCTGAGAGAAGTAGAAACAGACGAACTTGGAGACCTGTTACATTACCTTAGAGGTGTAATGTAACAATGGTTAGTCAGCAGAGCCTTCTGCATGTTTGTCCTCTGTGCCTAAACAATGGGGAGTCAGCAGAGCATCTTATTATGCATTGTGCTGTATGTAACCAGGAAGATTTGGTATCATTTTCTCGAATGGTTGGTCTTAGGTGGGTGTTTCCTAAGCAGGTAGTGGAGTTCATGTGGCAATATTAGGTAGAATAGGCGAACTGTATTGGAGGTCCGTAGCTCAAGCTGTTATGTGGGGTGTGTGGGAAGAAAGAAACAACAGGATTTTTGAGAATAAAGGAAGAACAGTAGATCTGGTCTCCTCTATTACTTTCTTTTGCAACCTGTGGGCTGTAAATTCTGAAGAATTTGCTGGCTTCTCTTTGAATGATCTTCAACAAAACCTAGTGGAAATTCTTTTCTCATCCCCAAGTCTATTGCAATCAAAGGGAGGAAAGGATAGTGAGATTAAGTTTCGATGGGAGTGCCCAAGGATCTTCTGGTCTAGCAGGGATTGGAGGTATAATCCAGGACAGAGATGGGAATATTTGTTGGGATTTTAGTAGCCCGATTGGATTTTCTAACTCTACAAAGGCAGAAATAGTGGCAACCCTCACGGGTCTTTGTTGTGCTAAAATGTTAGGAATTTCCTCTCAAACATTTGAGGGTGATTCAGCTAATACAATAAGATGGCTAAAGGAAAAAGACAGCGGGCCTTGGAGCTTGGCTCATTTTTTGAGAGAAGCTAGAGACATTGGACTCAATGAAGGTTAAGCTGAACAGGATTCCCAGGGAAATTGAACACTGTAGCAGACGGGTTAGCCAAATCTGGTGCTCATAGAGATTGTTTATTTAGTGACAGTGCTCCGCCTTTGTAATCTTTTTTCTTTGTTTTTCTCTTGAAGTACATCTTCTCATGCACCTCCGTTTAATGTAATCTCAGTTACTATTTGCTCAAAAAAAAAAGAATGTTAAATGGTGAACACATGTATTCACCACTAATTGAATTAAATTCTAATAGAGAATAGTGGAATTGGTAATTATCTTATAAAAAAAATAGACATGCATTTTGAGGGTTCTTCCCTAATTAGTAAAAAATATCGCCATCTTTCTGCTACGTAAAACAAAACATCTGCACTTCTTTGTTTGCTACTTTCCTTTAAATTCCCTTTTACTGTTGCCGCTTGCCAGTTCCCGATTTTATTTTTTCCTTTTAGAAACTTCCACTTCTATCAAGTGTCTTATAGTAACAGTGGAATTTTTCATCTGATCTAAGTTAGAAATGTAACAAATTTTATCGATTACTTTGAATAATAAGCAGTGACCAATACTGAAAGCTCATCACCAATTCAAATAGAATGAAATAAAACGAACAAACAAACAACTGATAGTTGGTAACGAGAAACTAATTGAACGATGCAAAATGCAATCTTGTTCGAGCTCCAATTAGAACATTAGTTGCAAAAGAAATGCTAGAGAAAAGAAATCAAGAAATTTATCAGAGTAGTTTGGAGAGATGCGAACCTCGATTTTGTAGACGTTGCATCCCGAAGCAATGTAAACCCAGCAAGAAGAACTAACGCCATTGACCTGGAAAGCAAGAAAGTAACATTAATGAGAGAGAGATATAGAGGGGAGTAAGGTTAGGACTTGAGAGTTCAGACATGGAGAGCAAGGCGAGTAGACTGGAGACTCGCAGGAGATGGATTCTCAAGGAGAGAAGAAGGGACGAGGGCTTTTCTCAAACTCTTTGCCTCCAACATTCCTTCTAGCTCGAGGGCGGGAAGCAAACCGATATTTGCAGGGAAAACTGGGAATGTTTAATGCTTCAACTGGAAATGCCTCAACTTGCCTATCTGTAATCAACTTACGGATTCAGCTTCGGCTTCAGCTGCAGCCATTTGATAACGGCTGAATGACTTAACTACTCTTCAGGTTTAAAATATCGGAAACCAGTACAGCAAAGGCATAAGAGATGTATAGGAATACTCATGTATATCTTTGCTTGAAAACATTATAAATACTTTAATAAATCATAAAAATGCATCAATAACACTAAATATAATATTTCAATGAGGTATATATATATTAAATTAATATATTTTAATAGTTTATAAAAAATATATTATCATAGTTAATTATAATTTTATTAAAAATTCCATGCTTAATTATAATTCTTAAGTTTAATGTTTTATGGAATGGGAAAACCCAACTCTCCTATCCAACAATAAAACATGCAACTTTTAAGTGAAAATATAATTATTTAAATAATTTTTATTTATTATTTATTTACAAAAATTAGAAAAAATAAATAAACATTATATAACATATTCAAAAAATAGTTATTAAAGAAGAAATTTCAATTTCCTTATGGATATGATAGATAAATCCATATATCTAAAACATATTTAGTCTTTATAGGCAAAAAAAATACATTTTAAAATTTTTATTAATTTATATTTTCTCCAATTAGCTTCATGAAATTTCCATAATTCTACTGATAACACAAAAAAATTGTGATTTTGAATGTAAGAAATGTAGATCAACATAAATTTAAACATTCACGAAAAAAATAAATCACAAGATATTATAAAAAAATTAAAAAAACTTACCTATTTTTGCCATATTTTTTAAATTTTGAAAAATCTTTAAAAAAAAATAACAATTCACACTTGTTTCTTGCAAAATTTTGCAAATCTAACACTCTAGGAATAAGCTTTGAAGTTTTAGAGTCATTTGAAGGTAAAATACGACTTATTTCAGGGAAAAGAAGCTTGTTTTCCCCCTTTGTTTTTTTTTCAGTTTTTGGTCATATCTTTTTCGTTGATATGCTACCGATACACCCCCGATATGCCCCTAATACACCCCTGATACGGTCCAATACAAATCTGATATGCATGAAAAAAGACGAGACACCCAATTTCCATGTATATCCCGTATTGTTTTTCAAAAATGCAATACAATACGCCCTGTGTCTGGTGTACCGTATCAAAATTTTAAACCTTAGTCTTCACTAATACTACAATAGAGAGTGTATAGTAACCAACTTCAGCTTCAACAGATTTTACCAAATGCCCCCTTAGCTACCAACATCCAAAGTCCATTGTACAGTCATTGCATATTCAGCTAATTCAAATTACTTAGGCCGTCTAAATTGTTTAATTGAGTAAATACATTCAGATGTGTTCTTGTATAACAAGACAAATTTTCAAAAGAATATCATGGGAATTTTTATCCTACGATTGTTTGACCAATTTTACTTTTTTATGAGTATAAGTGATTTATCCAAATGTAAGAAGAACAAAACTTAAGTCCTGAAAGTGGCCCAAAATTTTATTACACAACTTTTCATCAATCATTAAAGTATTGGTACTTGGTATCATATCACATATTTCGGATACGAATATGCTCTAAAATATATAGATACAAACAAAAAATATGGAAATGCTTGGATATGCTAAAAAAATACATACAAAATCCATAATACATTAATAAATACTAAATTTAAAATCATATAGCCACAAAATAATGTATAAATACATAGGCAATGTATATTTTAATGATGCATATGAAAAAATATATTACAATTAATTAAATTAAACGCATAGGTATCATACAATTTTATTGATATTGCATTAACCAAGAGTCCAAGACACATAACATATGCACATATTATATTTTAATTAGTATATCAATTATTTTATATTTTATTATTTTTACTCTTTTTACATTCACAAAAAATTAACCAAATATTAAATTCTCAAATGTAAGTTAAAATATCAATTAATAATTTATAAAAATATTTAATCTCAATTTAAAATATATCAATTCTATTAAACTTTCTAGATACATATCATTTGTAATTTTTTAATTACTAAATAATTATTCCATTATTAATATTTTTGTTTATATAGTTTTTCTAAAATTAAAATCCATTTTTGATATAAATGTTGATTAGTAGATTTGATAAATTCTATTTAATATTATATTCTCAAATATTTTGTAAGCATTTTTTTATTTTTGTAAATAGTTAATATGTTATTATTTACTATAGTGTAAATTAAAATATTAATTAATAATTTAAATATATATTAATTTTAAGTACTAAAATAATTGTTCTATTATTAATATTTTATTTGTATAAATTTCTTGAGATGAAAATCATCTTTTTACTTTAATGTAGATTTGATAGATTATTTATTTCATTGCTTTATAAAATATTAATTTTGATATTATTCTTTTAAATTTTTTAGTTTAAATTGTTAAACATAATTATGAATTATTTATTTGGATCACATGTGAATATTATATTTAATAAAAGATACTTTGTTTCACTTTTTAATATAAGAAGCAAGTTGGCTTAGTGGTTTAAAGGGTGATTTAAGTCTTAAGCTTGTTGTACACTACATGATTTGGGTTTGAATCGCCCTATTTACACTTTTTGGTGGAGAGGTACAAACACGAGGTGTATCGATGGTGTATCAGTCCAAATTAGTGTGTATCAACTAAATAAAATGTGATACAAAGCGATACACATCCATATTGGCTCAATACGTATGATTGTTGGATACACCTCCACTCATACTATATCTGGTATTGGTTAATCCTTGCTTTACGTCCAAATCTCCTGCACTCGGAATGGTGTGTGTTGTGACGGACTTCCAATCATAATTGAACACATCACACAATTCACATGGACAACTGGTTTGCATGTGCGATAAAGCTAAACGATAAGTTTTCCCATTATGTTCATATGATGTAATTTAAAAAAAAAAACAAAAACAAGATAGTAAAATAAAAGGGAAACTCAGATTGAGTCTTCAAGAATTTGGACTCAAAGGAAAGAGGGAAACTCCACCAAACCCTAGAACTCAATGGATGTCATTAACGACTTTAAAACTCTCTTTCTTCTTTACACTCCAACCAGGGGTAAAAGCCATTAAAGATTGCAACTTCAGAGCAAAAGTTTTATAAATAAAAATTGATTTTTTTCTCAAATCTTCAATCAAGAGTGAGAGTCATATGCAACAGAATTGTGTTTTTGTCATCAACCTTTAGCTGAAGTTACAAGTCTCATGTTGTTTGAAGCTAATTTTTTAGCTTCAGTTAAGGACGAGTTACAAGCATGGTTTTAAAAAACAACTTGGAAACGGAATCGTTTTGGCCACCAGTTTTGGGGTCGACGGTTTGACCGTCCGGTTCGAACGGACGACCTATTCTAACAAAAAAATAATTAAAAATAAAAAAAAGTGACCAAAAATTGTTGAACAGGTCGACGAGTCATTGACTGTCAAGGACATGGTTTGGGGTAAAATGAAACCGGTTTCCTAGATGGTACCTAGGTCAAACGGTCTGACTATTCGGGTCAACGGTGGTTCAAAAACCATGGTTACAGGCATTATTCTATTTTAAGGGTTAGAGGAGCTAGCTATCTAGTGAAAGGATTGAGTTAGACAGTTGTTGTTTCTCTATTTTTTTTGTCAATATTTATGGTGTCTAATAATGGTTTGAGATCTAACTTAAGTTGATATTGTTGAACAATGGGTTGAGATCTTGCAAAAATTTCACGTTGTTGACAACACTCGGTCTAGCTTCACCTTGCTAAAATCGGGTCTTCAAGAAAGAAGAAGGATCCTTCTTGCAAATACACTAATAAGGCGGTAACAAAACCTTGCACGAGGATCTTGTTGATGGTGTCCCTATAAAAAGTGAGAAAAAGAAGAAGAAGAATCATTTATTCTTATGTCGTTCATCAATAGAACTCCTTGTTTCATTTTTTTTAATCTTAAGTTATTTGCTTATTTTCACACAAATGTGTTTTTTTTTCTCCATCACCAGATAAGACATGAATGGAGGGCGTTATCAGGACCCTCATTCCCATGACGTGCTATCAAATAAATGGAAGTGCACCTCGACATACACCATTTCGAGTGCAAGAAATCCATACTCGGACCTTACATTATCCACTATGTCATGGACAATTTGAAGTGGCCACACCTCAATCTCTATGTGGCTTAAGGATTGTCTTTTTAAGAGGGAAGATAAATATGATTTCAATTTCTCATTCCATCACACCTTTTTTTGCTTATTTTGCTTGTAAGGATCAAGTTACTTTAAGATATAATTTTGTTATATTACCTCAGCCTCGTTCATTTTTTCGATAATGAGAGCGGAAAGTTGGTGGGTTCCACATAAAAAAGAAATAAATCTATGTTCGTATTTTCGATATTATTGGGTCCCACAAAATAAAATAATTATTGAGCGACTCATTTACTTGGGCAAGTAATACCCTTCTGAGACTTGGATAATCACTTAC